ATCTAAAAGGAAATTTAACTTGTCTCTATCAGTCTTCCTTTTATCCGAAGCGGTTTTAAGTCATGAAATGCAAGATTCATATTAAATGTCAGTATATGCCATTTCCCGAAAATTCCTATGTCCTCCTTGGTTCTCGATCACTTTGTGTATCACTGGGCTTGGGCATGATGTACCCACAACTTCTCCTCTCATGTCCCGTCAATAAATACCAGATTCATTCATTGGCACATGTAGGATGTAGGCAATGACCGTGGAATTACTTTGGATGCGAATGAAACGATGAAGGAAAAAAATGGATGTGGCTTCCTTCTCAGCACGTGTGTTCTTGTTTTCTTTGAACTGATTCTGTTCGTGCTGACTACGACTATGAAAAGCAAATCTGAATGAAGCCAAATCCACAGGCCGCCCAAAGGTTGTCATTCTATTCGGACATGCTATTTTGGTAATATGAACGAATGTTCCTTCTGCACTACAGATTAATTAATTTGTACAGTAAGGTATGTACGAGTAGAAGGATTAATTTGTATACGGGAGGAAAGGTAGCTCTATACACATCGTAGCCCTATTATTTAAGAATATGCCTTGTATTGTTTATTGTACTTGTATTTTGCCTTTTCTAATATATTCGTCATAGTCACAAAGGCCTGAAGCAAATGAAAATAACTGCAAAAGAGTTAACTAAATGCAGGAATGGTCCTGTTGAGAGATAGAGAAAGGCGGAGAGAGATACAGATAGGCGAATATATACATTAGATAAATAAGCAGATATATATACATATATATACATATATATACAGAGAGAGAGAGAGAGAGAGAGAGAGAGAGAGAGAAGGGATGTCAAACGGTCAGTGTATTTGTCTGTTCCGGCAGACCAAAGTCTAGATTTACAAAAAAATGAAAATGTAGATAAGTATCTCGACCTTGCACGAGAGTTGAAGAAATTGTGGAACATGAAGGTACCAGTCTATATCAGAGCTCTTGAAACGTTACCGAAGAACGCAATAAAGAGGAATTGGAAATTAGGGTTGTTTGCATATTGAAAAGATTTGCTGCCTCCAATTTAAGCCACCCGTCAGTGCTGGTGTAAACAATCAAAAAGTGAATAATAATAAATGCCCTGATGGCGCACCAGACATGGCACTTCTAACTTCTGTTTTTAACTGACTGGAACTGTTGACATGTACAGATTTTTATCTTGGTTAATTAAGATGGGCTACAGTAAATATACCGTTCAGTACGACAGATTTACATGGTCAGTTGCCTGAACTTACATTCTGTTCATGAGCTGGAGTAGTGAGGGAGCATCATGACCTGATGTCGAGGGTTTTGTTTCAGTTTAAAGGATTAGGTAGCCAACGTCACTTAGAAGTTACATCTAGATATTTAAGAACACACTCATCTAGATATTTAAGAACACACTCATTGGAGACCGTCTGAGCGGACTGGGTGACGCGATATAAAGGTATTTCTAATTGGGCCCCATCTCCAAGATTATGCTTTGCTTTAATCACCATATCGCGCACCTTTCAGTGTGATCCGTATGTCCAGTATACTCTTATCATACTGGGTGTTATAATGGATATATATCCATGATGACACCCAGTATGATAAGGGTATACGGGACAGATCACATGATTTTTGTATATTTGTCTACCAGTATTAAATTGTTGGCGTGAGAGCACTTCGACATGGTGTAATATTTAGCACGCTTGTCTCGTTAAATCAATTACGACTGAATAGTGAGTTCGATTCTCACTGGGTGCCCCTTACTTTCGGCCTTTTTTACGCTTAGAAAATCACCATTACTTTGTTTGCGTTCTGACCTCGCACGCAATAACAATATAGTAGTAATAATAATGGCTATTATGGTGGATATATTGGTCTTTGTATATTTGTAACCCAATATTCCTTTGCTGGAATACTGCTCTCTCGCTCAACAATGATAATAGCAATGTATTCATAGATACATAAATAGTGCATAACAGATGTATTTTAGAGATTTATTTTTATAGGTAGGCTGTGTAACAACGAACTGAGTTCACAAGAATGGTACAATCCTTCGTGTATATTCAAAGTTATACAAGGCAGTACAAATGTGTTTTAATTTATTTGTGTAACAGCAGATTTTGTACAAATGTACAGTTCTGGTATTCATGTAGTCAGTCTTCCATACTTGTTTTTCTGAGTTTGGGGAGAAATCTAGGTTAAGTAGATCTGTAAGAATAAACTTCGTTTGGTACTCGGGAACCGCCTGTACATACAAACCGACCACGCAGAATGAGTTCTCCCTTTACACATGTCAAGTGCGTACTGATCTTGTCCCCAGTACCCTATACTCACTCAGAAGTTCCGCCGCCAACTCGTTCCTAAGGGCCAATGAAGATAATTTCAAACTCCCCAGAAGACATCCATCTTAGAATTAAAAGCCTTTATCATAAACATCATTTGTTGAAAAAAAAAAAAAAAAAAAAAAAAAAAAAATTGTGCCACGAAAATATAAAAATTTCAAACGATTTTTTTAATTTGATTTTCTGTTTTACTATTATACATTCAGGTTTTCCAACCGGAGTTCTCATTTTCGGCGAATTTATGACAACATTCCCGCGTGTAGAGAGCGTAACGGTGGTCAATGTGGAAATGCCGATAATCGGTGTTAGTAGATTTCAAATCCTGGCTTAGTCGGCTGCGTTCATTTTCGCATTACTACTCTTAGGAAAGGCATGAAGCCTTTTCATCTCCCCGTTTCTATGTGATAAATGACGGTTGGTCTTATTTTAAAAATGTGGATAGGGCAACGGGAAAGAACTCCACTGTCGTTTCAAATAATTCATAGTAATTTACAGCTATGAAGATGAATCAGCGGAGACTCGTAATCTGCTACACCCTGGAGTGATAGGGAATTTAAAAAATTGCGGGAAGCAAAACCATTTCTCGATACTGAAGGTAGATTAGCGCCATAGAATCACATTTGAAAAAAATAACCTTTTCAAAAACAAAGAAAAATCAGAATGCAATAGAAGCCTTTACAATTTTTCTTTTCCAATCAAAGTGATACAATAATTTGTTCATGAATGACTGCACAGGCATAGTTTTAAAAAAATCATTCTTTTCAAACGTCTAGTTCACGTGAATATCTACGGGTTAGACTCCTCAATTGTTCTATAGTAACTTGTGAAAGAGAAATTATTACGAATTGAGATTCAACGATTAATTGAAATAATTTGAATTTTTCTAATTAGTGTCAGAGCACTATTTGCGCTTAAACAGAAAAAAAAACCCATTAAATATCTTTAAATGATTTATAAATGAAAAACAGGATCATATTTCTCTGAAAATTAAATAAAAAAGAGTAATGAATTTATAATTTAGAGAAAAAATAAATACAAGTTGTTTCAGCTACCCGAAAATAGAGCATTCCTACAAATCCAAATTGTCGGAAAGTGAACGAAAAAAAAAAGAGAAAAGAAACAAGCTAAAAACAAAAAAAAAACATTAATTCATATGGGATATATTTGAGAACGCTGAAAGATTTTCTTTGAGCATTTTCAGAAAAATATTCTGTCTGCCTGCCTCGGTGTTGAAGGTCGGGTCTCGTCGTCTGTTGTGGCTAATGAGCATGGAAGACTTGAAATATGCTTGACTGCTTCGCCACATGCATTTTACGTTAAGCGTAATATCTTTATGATCTCCCTTAGTCTTTTCTTATATCAATGGCGCCTAGGTGTAGCGAAAGGTGCCATCCAGAAACTGAACAGAGTATTAAAGCAGAGGAAAATGTCCTTAAAAAAAAGAGAAGATTAATGTACAGCTGGGTAATATCTAATATCCTCTATGGAAGTGAATACTAGGCAACTTCCTCACAAATAAAAACGAAACTTAAAGAACTGCTGAAAATTCCACAGGCTGAACATATGAAGAATGAAAAAAAAAACTTAACGAAAACAGGAATTGCAAGTGATACTTAAAATCAGAAAGACACCTAATGAGGAAAGCGGACCTGGAGAAACTAATACTCACAGTACATGTTGAAAGCAAGATAAGCAGAGGGAAACGACGAGTAACCTATTTAATATGACTATGAATGAATGACAAGAACAAGGACAAAAATAACATGGTGATGAGTCAAAAGTTGCTTAGAACAACAAATGATAAGAAGGATGCATAAAAGACATCTGGCTAACGGATGCGTAAAATAAATCGGTGTGGTCCCTGTCACTAAAACTGTTCGCTGAGAAATAAAAGTGATTTTTCGCTTTTAGTCCCTTTTCATAAAAGCAAAAAATTCTCTTTCGGTTAGCGAAAACCGATACAAATGTCGGTCTTTCGTAAAGAGTGAAAAGGTGTAAAGCGGACTTTCACAAAACGGGGAATGCTTGTATATAGATACAGTCACGCGTAAACTTACGTACGTATTTCAGGAAAGTAAGGACGTATTACAGGAGGAAATTAAATATACGTACTGTACGCTGAAACATACGTATTTAATTAAGCCTATACACATATCGAAATACCATAGCTACTAAAATATACACAATTGTTTTTACTGTACTGTGATATTGTAGAGTACAGTGGCGTGTCCTGAAAATAGGCTGGGAGAGGAGTAAGCTTATAACACTGTTAGAATCTGAGAGGAATACCAATAATTTTTACTAAGAAGTAATAAGTAACGAGCATATTACCATTTGAAACATTACATCTTAATTTCTTTTTCAATGTATCATGATTAATTAATTGATTCCTTTTCTAAGGCTTATCAACATTTTGCAAGTTATTTAAAGCCAAAATATATTTTGAGATTGTGAGAATTTTTTGAGATAATAATGATTTAGTGATACAAGTGTTACTAATTAACCCATAGCTGGGGAGGGAAGAGGCGGATTCATACCTTTTTCAAGGGTATTTTCCCGTATGATAATATAACGAACCCAATTGGAATTGAAACTCGGCTCTCCGATTAACAATTCCTACCCATTAACCATTACACCACTCGTACATCCAAGCTTACAGCACCTATTATTCCCAAGCGGTCACCCGTCGAAATAGTGACCAGGCTCAACATTGCTTAACATCGATGATCGTACGGGAGTCGGTGTTTCAACGTGATATGGCCATAAGCCGTCAACGGATCAGCTGCTGCCTTTAGTCTTTCCCAATTTACTTTATACTTTGTCTAAAAGTGTATTATTTTACTGTGGAAAGAGATTAATTTTAATTTCGTGTATTAGAGGTATAGAATTTCTAAATCTGATCCCAACTTTCAAGTTTTCCTTAAATTTATTTCTTGCAATTTTTTTTTTAGTCATGCTGATATCTTTTCAGGAGGTCTTCATACATATATTATATTTTCCAGTTTCTCATATACTGTACTATAAGTTTGGTATAGAATGTATACCATTATACAACGAGCTGTGCAATTGTTATTTTTTGGCTTTTCATCCTGCTTATCGACTGCTCTATGTGTAAATTTAATTGTTTTTATTCGGTCCTTAATTTGGACGTATCTGCAATCGGTGTTAGTTGGTCTAGCTTGTTGAAGTGTAGGAACTTGATCTGCTATAGTTTTCCCAAGTAGTCGGAAAGCAATTAAAGTAATGTTGAGCCATGCTGTCGCGATAGCTGCCTGCAGCTATATAGTATTTGTACATGCAGGATCTTGTGTGCGAATAGACCTCTCTACTACGTCCCATAAATGCACGATTTGGTTCGTGTTGGACGAACGTTGTGGCCTCACCATTCATTGGAGGAGGGTGCTCCAGAAATACCCTGAAATCTATTCCGGGAAACTTGGGCTTGATACCACAGTGCATTATCCCGTTTGAATAACCCGTCGTTCTTGAGATACATGTAGTCCATAGCAACTGGAAATTACAGCCACATGAGCTTTGTGTCGCAACCGAAGCTTATAACCAGTCTAATACAACAGGAACCGTGACTGATCGGACCTCGTTTCACTTTCCTAATCTCTCAGGTTGCAATTAGCGACGTCATGAGCCCAGGTAAGACGCTGTGTCCGGCGTATTAGGGTTTCTAATCCCATAGAAGTTAAAGAACGTTGTATTGAAATGCGTCTGCTATCTTCTGCATTGAATATGGGTGTGATTTAAGCTAGTGTCACTTGTCTGTTTTCGTAGACAATTTTAACTAGTTACTTCTAGTCACGATAATTAAGGACCAGTAGTCAGCCACTGCACTGTTCACAGTTAGCTTTAATACTTCCCACTCACTTAGCAGTAGACCTAGCAATAAATCAATTATAATCTGAAATATCGTGAGTCAGTGTGAACAGGATCCAAGTTCGAATCCACTGACACCCACTGTCATGCCCCATTCGAACTTGGATCCTGTTCACACTGACTCACGATATTTCAGATTATAATTGATTTATTGCTAGGTCTACTGCTAAGTGAGTTGGTTTACTGTGTTGTACGAGACAATTCTTCTCTCCAGAATATCTCTTACATATTTATAAGCCCATGCTTCGAATATTGTTTTTACATGTGGTCTGGTACCCCTGCTATATATTTAGAGATTCTTGATAAAATCCAAAGAACAATCTGCAATGTTATTGGTCCTGACCTGACATACCGACTTCAGGCATTTTCCCACCGCCTTAATATAGCTCCCATGTGCCTTTTCTATAAATACTTTCATGGTAATTGTTCTGATGATGCAATCGTAAGTTCTCTGCTAACAGTCTCTTTTCTCGTACTTTTAGCCTGTGGAACTCTCTTTCGGCTTCTTGTTTCCCAGTCACCTTTAATCTTCAAAAGTTTAAATGCAATATCAATCGTAATCTATCTACTTGATTCCTCTTCATTTATTGTTCTAGCTCCTTAATAATTTTTCTATTTTTCTTATTCTTCCACACTTAGCAATCCCTTGTGTCTGAGTGGTCTTATTGCTTTGCTTGGGGTGAAATATTATATAAGGGCATTTTTTAAAAAAATGATTTCACTTCAAACAAAGCGAGTGATAATGCCACTAGGACGCAGGGGGTTGCAGAAAGTGAAAGAGAATGAGATGACTTTAGCGAGAAGTGAGGAAAAGGACATTAAAGGAACAGGATTCAGGAAGGCAAGATGGGGATTGACGTTGCATTTAATTTTTTTTTAAGAGTGTACGTTGCAGAGAAACAAGAAATTGGAAGGGAGTTCCACAGGCGAGAATTGCAAGAAAAGAAACTAATAAAATAGAACTGACAGAAGTCGAGATGCCAGGTCAGGATCAACAGATCCATCTTTGAATTTTACCAAGAATCTGAATATATATAGTAGGAGCAGATTTAGAAGACTTAGAATGAACCGGAAACCTAATCATAAAAAGGAAACAATGGATAAATCATTTAAAAGAGCGGGAAGGTGTGTGAAGCGGACATACTGCTATTCCAAGACTTTTGGCACGTCAGTGTACTTTTCTATTTTGCTGTAATTTATTGTTTTTTGTAAAGAGATCTCAATCTCATTTTTGTTTTACTATCAGATAATTATGGAGCGTGTTGCAAATAAAACGTTAATAAATAAAAGTAAGTATACTAGAATTTTAAGGAAAAAATTTTTTGAAAAGGCGAAAGAAAATCAGTTGCAAAAAAAATCACCTGTTGGGCGCGATATGGACCGGTTAATTGTTAATAAAGAGTTTAACATTTAAATATTAATATGGAACTATCGGTAACCCATTTTATCAGAAATGGAACCAATCACAAAACGCCCCCACCCACAATTCCCATCAATTTAGCAAAGCGTTAACATTTATTCACAGTTTATCTTGTCGATTGTTTGTTAATTCCGCTAAATCCACTCAGTCATCCTGCATGCCAGTGAATTTCTTCAAAGATGAAGAGGAAGCTGGGATAAGGTTATGAAGAAGGATGCTGGGCACCGTGGATGGAACATGTGAACCACGAGGAAGATTTAAAGAAACATGTTGACAACAGGGACACTTAGTACTTTCACTTTCACAGGGCATAGTGAAAATAAGATGGCCAGAAGAAAACATCGTCACTACGTAACGAATTTGTGTAAATGGGCAGCAGAGCAAGGACTGGGAGGGATAGTTAGGGGGCAAATGTTGCTTTGAGCTACAATGGATAGAAAGTTGTGGACAGTTAAGACCACCCATGTTCTAAAGGGACATGTTACATACATGAGTGCTAATGAGTCCTGCATAAGTGTAGTAAATTTACGAGAAGGTACTTTTCGAGAGTCCTTGTCTGGTCCGCATGCACACAACACTATGGAAGCATCAAATATGCGTTTGTTGCAACTGCATTGTCATAGCCTCTTCATAGTGAAGATCGTCCATGCTGGTGAAGAGCCACACCTTTCTCGAGGTAGCGCCGTTAATTGTTAATAAAGAGTTTGACACTTAAAAGATTAATTTGTAACTATCGGTAACCCATTTTATTAGAACTAAACCTAATCGTAAAACGGAAACCGCAGCCACACACTCCCTCTTACACATGCATACTTCAATTTACCGAGTTATCACTCCATTAATTTCAAGTTTGACATTCTTGTCATTTTAGAAAAGCTTTAACATTTTTTTCGCAGCTTATCATTCTTTATTAAATCTACCACCAAATTGGAATTGCCATAGCATCTCCATAGCCTCGTCCATACCAGTGAAGAGTTAACTTGGCTAACAGTCTAACTCTCTGCCTTCGGGCAGAGAGGAACACGGACGAGGCTCCGCCGAAGGGCAGAGTCTCGTTCGGGGTGGTTGACTGCTCCTGAACCCGTTTATGCGGGTTCAAAGAGGGAATATTTTTAGCCGAGCCTACGGGCTCGGAGATCCCACGTTAAACCCGGCCTTGTGCCACATGTAACCCTCGTGGTGGTGGTGGTGGGGGGTAGCTAAATATCACTAGTGAAGAGCCACATCATTCTCGAGGTAGCTCCGTTAATCAAGCATAGACAATAGACTAACCTCGCTAAAGAATCCTGCATATTCATTGTGGGTATACAGTAGTTCATATAGGTTGCATCAACATAACGATGTTATCGCATGATAAACACTGTAGTTGCGCAGATGATCAATTATTTGACAACTGACAGGTATCCATGTTCTAATAAGTTTTAAAATCATTTCACTCCAAGCAAGATGATAAGAGCCCCCATGATATAAGTTACTGAGTGTGAAAAAATTGAAAAAAAAAAAAAAAAAAAAAAAAAAAAAAAAAACGTTATTGAAGAGAAAGGGAAATAAAAGAACAGGATTCAAGGAGACAGAAGATGGCGAATTGACGTTGCATTCAATTTTTTGAAGGTTGTAATTGACAGGAAAGCAAAAAGCCGGAAGAGAATATCAAGTGAAAAGTGAGGGAAGAAACTGTTAATATAGAACTTGCAGTTACGTCAATCAATTTCAATAGTGAAATTATGAGACCTCGTTGCTAATCTAGTACTGCGTTTAAATTTGTGAAGTCACTGTACCAAAGGGGAAAGCTCATCAAAACAATTGCCATGAAAATATTTATAGAAAAGGCACAGGGAAGCTCCGTTGGGGCAGTGCGAAAGTGAATTCCTTCCTAATTTCTACATTGGTAAAATTTCGAGACCTCGTTGCCCATCTAGTACTGCGTTTAAATTCGTGATGTCGCTGTACCAAAGAAGAATCCTTATCAAAACAATTGCCATCAAAATATTTATAGAAAAAGGCGCAGAGAAGGTAAGTTACGGCAGTGGAAAATTGATTGAAGTTGAGATGAAAGGTCACGACCGATAACAACGCAGTTTCTTTAGAATGTGCGAAGAATATCGAGATATATAGCAGAAGCACCAGCAGCAATATTCGAATGACGGACAAATGGTAGATTTATAAAAGGTACAAGGAGAATATGATTTCAAGAAAAGAGGAGTTGCGACCCCTGATTTTATTAACAACAAAAAGACATTGTCCAACCGAGGCTAACGATGAGATGAGAGAGATAACACTACCAACAGATTTTATTTTTATCGACTGTTTCTGTTTGTTATATTTGAATCTATTTCCTCTGCCTTTTTATTTGATTAGATTTGTTACATTATTATATTAATAAAACTAAACACGAGCCTTGCTGGCTTTAAGCGAATATTCATTAAGCATTGGCATATATTTTCTTCAGTCTTTATCTAAGAGTTATTTAAAGAGCTCAGTTTAGTCTGGCACAATACAATCACGTTAGGTGCAATAACCACACGGCATTCAACCCCTGTGGATGATACCAAAATAATCGCTTATATCTCACGGCTTCAGTAAACGATGGGAGGTTCTGTAACTGTTACAAGCTGAACCATAGTGTTGCAGGATACACATAGCATAATCTTCACGCCTGTGCTAGTTTTATGGTAGATGCCCGACCCCAAACTTTAAACCAAGGGTTTACGTACGGTGGCCAAGTAAGGTAGGACGAATAGCATTAAGGATTCGTTGTCATAGGCAGGCTGTTGGTCTTTCGTTTTTCTTGGCAGATGTTCAAGCCAACATCGTACGTGAGCCGAATAAACTGAACTTCTAACCCTGTTTTCCTGCACAGGATCGCAATAATAATGTAATGGAAATAAATAGAAAACATCACTTATGTGAAAAGGGCCGCTGAAAATGTCTCGACCTGACCAAGAAGGGATTCCGAAGAATCCGACATTCGGTTAATCTGAGAGTGGGCTGGGTCGAGAATATTTTAGCGTCTGGTATCGTCTTAACAACTGTCGATGAACAAATTGGTTTACTATTGCTGTCCTTTGACTAATTTAGACCGTACATTCGAAAGTACACTCCTTCGTAGTCGACAAATTTTCGGCATGTTCTTTAGGTGCAGTCATAATACCAGGAGGAAAGTAAACAGTGAAAAGTAGAAGAGCTAGAATCAAGAGTGAAACTCATGTGTAGCCTGATTTCACTTTGCCCAAGGCACGTACACACCACATAACAACAAGAAGCTTAACAGAGTATGAAAATAAAGTTACAAATCCTGCACTCTCAGTAAAAAACGAATTCAATACATATGTACACAACCTCTTGATTAAAAAGGACCCCGAGCGAATAAACCCGACGGATATTGGAATCCTCTTACTTCAAACTTCGTAGACTGACACAAACAAAGAACTGAGCCAAATAACAGAAATTACATCACTCGATGATTTTCAACAGCGGCAACAGCTAAAATGGATAGCACATGTAACTTGAAGAGAAAATAATGACATAATCAAAATGTTGACGTTCCTTACTACTTTGAACAAAAGGTTAGGAAGGAAAGGGCAATAACAGTTAGGACTTGAAAAACTCATTTTCTTGAGAAACTGTTAATAGAAATATTTTTTTAAAATTACACCCGACATTAGCACTGGCTGTCGGCCAATGAATATCGAATGTTTCTATATAAGGAAATGACTATGATAGCTCGTATATTTAGGTAGTAAAATTCATTTAACACATTGACTGCTAATCACGAGAAAAACAATATTAAAACTTCAGTTGAAGCTATAAATCAACTCATAAAAAATGTTTTATTGTTTAAGTTGGTTACTATAAAGTTAGCGTTTGAAGTCAGATTTCGTAATTTACCTCTGGCAGTCAACATGTTAAACAAGTTTTGTTAAATTCAACCGACAATATCAGTCTGCTTTCCAATTTTTTAAAAAGTCGTAAATCAAAATCAAATTCGTGGATAAACTGTACAAAGTTCATGATTTGTCCTGTTATCATTTAAGTACTTTCGACTATCACAGACGTTATTAAGAATTTTTCAGTGAATTCAAGTTATGAAAAACCATCTCCATATGACGCCACTTATATGATATGCTTAACTGCACCCCAAATCCGGTTTTAGCCAACAAAATCTTGTGTAACATGCTAACAAAATGTATATCATTATAAAGACTGAAACGGTTGGAAATACTACAGTAAAAACGGCAAAAAATGAACTCCGGGCAGTTCATCCACAAATTTGACTTGGGTTTATCACAACTTATTCGAAAATTGGAAAAATACAATAAAAATTTAACAGACAGAACCTGTCAGTTGATTTTAACGAAATATAACATACACACGAGATATAACTGTAAATTTTTAAAGAAAAATTAAAAAGAAGTTATATCTCCAAACCTATTTTCCCTAGTTCCTTTTCAAATAATATTCTTTGATCGCAAAGTGAACTACGCACAAAGTTTGGGTTTAAAGATATATAAGTATTTATACCCATA